AAACTATTTGTGGTTTAAACAGAGAAAATACTATAATTTGTTAAAAAAAAAAAAATTAAGTATACTTCATTTACTGTCTTTGTTAATGTTACACATAAATGTATCAACTTCAGTTCTATCAGTGTAGTAGAGAAAGAGATCCAAGCAGTTGATTTAGTCAGGTCTGCAATGAAAATGTTCTAGTCTTTAGTGGTACCTTTTTTGAAATTAAATGGAGCTTGTTTCATGTAATGGGTCAAAAGACCTGTCCTGTGCTATGATCCACTTCTTCGTAACAGTGTTAAACAAAAAATGTCTGCAAAGAAGTTTCTTTTTTTTTTTTTTCCTCCTTTCTTATGCATCTATACTTAAAAGAACAATCTTTACAGGCAAAATATTAAGAAAATAACCTGTAAAGCTGTTTGTTCAAATGCTTCCACACTACACAGTACTGCCAGACAACAAATGCAGGAATAAACATTACTATAGATAAACATTGTAATGTAATAAAGACTATGTTGAGACTGCAAAGTTGTTATAAAATCACTGAAAACTTTTGAGATGTTTTCTGTATTTCCCTCTTACACACTGCGCATCAAGTTCCCTCCAACAGAAATTATTGTTTTGCTAGTGCTACCAAAATCCTCCTGGTAGAAAACGTATTTTAACACTTTGCTACAAGCAGATAAAGCTTGAATTCCTAGCATTTTAGGATCTGTGTTTGAGACTAGAAGAATATATGCCCTAATTCTTAGAATGAACTCAAGAAGAAAATTTTTTAAATGAATGAGTCTAAAGTACAAGTAAAAATAATATTAAAGTAAATAATAACTTCATGATAAAGTTTCTTAGTCTTGTTTCAGAATAATAAAAGACTCATAAGTTAAACCTGGTCTGCTACAGTACCTGAACTAGCCAGTTCAGTTATAATTAACTACTCAGGTTATCACTCTTTTTTATCACATAACATTCTTCAATTTTACAGTCTATCTATCTGTTTTCTTCTGCTTCATAAATCCCATTGTTTCTCTTACATTTTTTGTCCATTTTTCCTTCTAGGCTGTGTCTGCAGAAAGACAATGATGAACTAACAGTTTTCATCTGCACATCATCAATCAGGAAAAATGAATAAAGTTTTCTTCACTAGGGACTTGTTTTTTAAAACTGGAATAGAAACTGTTTTAAGGTTAACAAAATGTAACTGGTTTCTTGTGTGAATGTTGATTCTAAGGTTTTGTCAGAATCTTACTAAAGAAACGTTTCAGCCACATGCCTGTTACCAATCTCTAACAGAAATCAGCTATATAACTACCAGTTATGATATCAGGAGAACACTTGTGGCAGGATACCTCTGCTTCTCTGAGCCAGAAGCCACCTTTCAACTCTTCTGGTGCACTTCGTATTTGGCAACTTAGTTACCACTATTTATAGGACTCAAGAGCACTGTAACATGGAGAACCGCCCAGTTCCCACACTTTGAGGAACAGTACTGTACAGTTGGGATGAGTTGGCCCAGTGTGGGAGTAGCAAACTCTGAAGACCAGAAAATAAAGGTCTTCATGCCAGAACTGCCTCAGCATTCTAGATCATCAGGGCATTTTGGATCAAAGGGGGCCTTTGTTTGGCTTTTTTTGGAAAACTCAGAGCAAAAGAGAAAGAAAAGTACACTTGATTACAGTATTAGGAACACATTAAAGAAAGGGGAGTAGTGGCCTAGACAATGAACAAAACTGCTGGCACTGTCAGAAAGTCATCATTTTTCATTTCACTGTATTTTCTTTTAGAGGACAGCATTCTACAATCTTTCCTTCTGTATTACTAACATACAGCAACATACATGTAAATGCTAACTTTAATTATCTTCTCTACAATTGGAATGATACAAAAAACAATGGAAAAAATAGTGTAAAAAGTAGGGAAAAGTTGCAAAAATATGTCACATACTTGCTTCTTTGTTCAGTAAGTCATCAGGTGATGCTTTGATGCTAAGAGATGAACACAAACCAACAACTCTTATGATTTAACTTTGGGCTGCTGGCTTCAGTGCTCCAATGCAGCATGAACAGACTCATTTCTAGTTTTACAACTCTTATTTTTTTTCTTGATGCCTTAGCTTGTACTCTCCATTTAAACACATTAATCTGAGCTGTACAGATATTCTATAGGAACGGATGAAAAATTCAAGTTTCAAAATATTTAGATGAAACCTTTCCTCTGCATCCAATGAATGAGCGTTCCATCAGCTCCATATGCTTTTTCGCTCCGCTTCAAGAGCATTAGTATTTTTTCTTGGAACAGAATCAGCAATAAGCAGCATAATATTTTAATAACATTAATACAAAGAAGTTAGATAGAATCCTTATTAGAGTGTTTCAGTAGGTTCTTCTCTGTCTAAAAGAAGCCATGAAACAGATGTTTGTAGAAAACAGATACCAATCTAGTTAGGACTGCATGGTTGAATGAATATGGTATCAAGAATACTGATTGGTAAGACTATAAACCTACCAAGGTAGAACTCTCCTCTTTCAGCTCCTCAGAGCTGGTAACAATATATTTAAACTTTATAAAGAGTATAGTTAGTAAAATCTTCTTATAAATCTACAATTTATTAAAAAAGAGGCAGTTTTAATGAACACATTTGAAAAAAAACCCACCCCAAACCAAATATGAAAATCCCCTTCAGCATAATTTATCAGATCAGGCCAAGGCAAAACAAGACAAAAAACTACAGAAGTAGAGGTCAGTTTTTGACTTGCTCATTTAATTTCTGCCAAATGTACTTGGATGAAGTTTTCAAATCTGACTCGCACATTTGAAGAAATTAGACATGCAGTATTTGCACAGGCAAACAGAGATGTCCATATGGATTTGTTTCTACTCCACCACAATCTTTTCCACAGTTAAATTTGTGAATCTTTTAGTTCGAATACTTATGGAAGGCCTGGACTTGCTTCAGAGAAACCCAGTGAATTCTGCCCTGCCAGAGATCACCTGGTCAGTGAAGGGGCTTCCAGGAGAGCATACAAAAATCCTGCTTCCAATCTGAGTCGTAGTATTTGTTGACTGGACTTTTAGCCACACTGAGTACAGCTCAAAAAGCTAGACCAGAGCTTTTAAAATAAGCTCTTTTGGTCTATGAGATATTTAGGAGACTTTATTCTGATGTTACAGACTTTGAACTATATTCTTAGAAAGAAACTAAAACCAACCTCAACCAACAACAGCCCCCCAAACAACTGCATGCCCATACACACATCTAAAGCTACTATATACACATACATGCATAAGCAAACACACTAACAAAATAAGACTATCCATTTCAAGTACAGATACAGTTTTATCACAACAAATAAATTAATTTGGGTTCACAAGTCTGACTACTAGTGTCATCTTGAATTCAAACCCCAAGAGTATTTATTTTTGTTGACAGCTACATCTCTTTACAAACTGTTTTTCCAAGTTTGTAGGAATTACATTCACTTCAAAAACACCTTTTGCTCACAACTTCAGAGACTGAATATGTACTAAGTAAAATATTCAGTTATTTCAAGAGTGAAGTAGCCACCTTTATGTCATGCCAACTATAAAGACCCTGCTGCTCCTACTGTTTTTATTACTATGAAAGTTCTTCTGTCTTAAAGAACAATGTATAAAGTTTTTATAAAATCTCTAAAACCAACCCAAAAGATTCTATTTCTTCTATAAAATATAGTGTATACGAAGAAAAATGCTGAAGTAGCATTGAAGCAATTGATAGCTTCGATTACATTAATCTAGAATAACATAAATAATTAATTTTGAGTAGTGGAGGCAACATGGCAATGCATAAAACCTACATATATACATGGGTAAGAGGTTATAATAGAGAGGAAAAGCAGCAAGAAACTACATAATTTCAAATTTATTTTTATTTAGGTGTCCAAGTATTTAATTCCTTGTGCTTTCCATTAAAGTGTAGTAGTTAAATAAATGCCTATATACTGTTTTTCCCGTAACTCCTTATATGTAGGAGGTGAGATTTGTGGGTCTGAATTACCTCCAAGTGAGTGAGACAGATTCACCTGAATTTCTCACATTCTGCATGAGTTTTTAAATTGCTGAGGTGGATTTAAAGGCACTCACTCTTTTACTCGTGCAAGGCTCGATTTATTCAAAACCATTAGAAGAGCATCTTTCTGAAACAAGCAGGTATTCTCAGTTTATTATTCCCACTGAGACTGCACACTGAACTTCTCCACTGAGGAGGTACTGGCAATGCCCAGAAGCAGAAATTAGTGTCTGGGAAATTAATACTAAACTTCAGATGTTTTTGGAAGTGAATGGTTTTGAGAATTTGGGACTGAAGTCTCAATTAGATCAGCACAGGCAGCAATTAAGCATCTTTTATGGATTCAGTCCTATTTGCAATATTCAGAGCAGATTTACACAAATGAAATAATAAATGAAAGAGAAACCAGTAATTACTGTCAAAAGGTTAAAGATACAGTACAATAATGCATTCCAAGCAGCACATTAATTGAAAAGGAAATGGGTGTGTGACAAGCAGCTGCTCATGAAATGTTATGGCATCTCAAATTTTTGGAGGCATTTTACGGTTTTAAGTATTTAGCAAATTTGTAAAATTGAAGATGAAAAAACAGCCTTAACCTATGCACTACTTGTGCTACCTAATTATAAAAAAACCTCCAGCCAAATAAGCACTGGAATTGTGCTTAAGAATTTGCTAAGACTTCTCTTTAGAAAATTAAAACTTACTAAGGGGCTGCAAACCAGCTTACCTGTCTATTCTTCCTCACTAGACCACATAGTCACAGTCTGTTAGTCGAGTTCCATTTTCACAAGAGTAAAAATCATTCATTCTATTTTAAATAACATGACTACCACATTGAAGGTATAAAAGAAGCAATCCTCGCTTCTGCAAGTCTACTCAGCAGAAGGATCCGATAAAGATTAGGCCTGTACTAAAGAGTGAAACAATATTCTTTGCACACATTTAGATATTAGTTAAAATATATTTTTACCTCTCCTGACATATCAGGTGCCATCGGAATGACTGGCCACAAAGAAGAGTAGATTCCAAAAAACACTACCCAAAGCGCTATGCTGCCCCAAATAGCTATATGGCTGAACTGTTAAAAAAACAAACAAAAAAAGAAAACAGAACAATCATCAGAGATGTATTATGACATAAAAAAAGATCTCTGCTACTTAGTATTTTGCAATGCAATTCTGGTACATTGGATGAAATTTCAATGCCTTGTAGTAATCTAATTCCGCTACTTCAGTAAGCTCTTTCTTCAAGAAAGATGATACTTTCAGCAGCAATATTACTGCACTTTAAGCCAATTTAGTTCAATTACAATCAGTTCAGAGTAATGTGATTTTTCTAGTTTAAAGATTACTTTAAGACTTATCCCAATGTCCACCTTTTCAATATTAAGCATTATTTTTTGTATGTGGATATGCGCAGTAATCACAGTTTAGTTTGATACTGTGGGGTGGACTGACAAACTGTAAGGGTGTAATACAATAAATAAGAAGAAAATAATACAATTATTCATCCATCATATTTCATAGAACATTCGAGAATATGGTAAAGACGTTTGCTTACCAAAGTCCAATATGAGGTCTCTAATCCAGCCTTCAAACACACAGTTAGAACCACAAACTTGAAAAGAGAGAGAGGATTCTTATTTAATGTGCAAATCTTACTTAACGTACAGAATTGATTAGTTTCGTTAAACTTTCAGGAGAACAGAAGAAAAAGTTTAATGATTTTCATAGTTCATGTTTACTTGCAAAATGAAATAAGGAAAAGGATAATAAATCTCTTCAATTTAAATGTGATTTCCTTAATAATAACAAAGCCTAATGTGATTTTCCTTAATAAGAGCTTTAAACTAGACTTGAAAGGGGAGGGGAATAATACCAGGCTTGCCTGTGGCAAGCTGTGGGATGACACACACCAAGGTTAGAGGACAGAGTGCTAGTGAGGGCCCTCAGCCTGTTGCTCTGAGATGCACTGGCTACACTGGAGCACACTCAAAGTGTTATGGAGATGAACCAGGGGCTCCTGAGGTAACAGGGGCCAACAGGGAAACACTCGTGAAATACCTCAAAGGAATTAAGGGGTGTTCCTCTAAGAAGGTCACATGGCCAATAGCCCAGCTGAAGTGCCTCTACACCAGTGCATGTAGCATGGGCAACAAACAGGAGGAGGTGGAAGCCATTGTACTGCAAAAAAGCTATGACCTAGTTGCCATTACTGAAACCTGGTGGGATGAATCCCATGGTTGGAGTGCAGCTATCAATGGCTACAGGCTGTTCAGAAGGGACAGGTGAGGATGGAGGGGTGGAGGACCTGCCCTCTACGTCAAGAAATGGATAGATTGTGAAGAGCTGTCTCTGAAGAATAGCCAAAAACAGATTGAAAGCTTATGAGTAAGAATTAGAGATCGAGGCAACAAAGTGAACCTTGTGGTTGGTGTCCACTACAGGCCACTCAAACAAGGGGAGCCTATTGATGAATCCTTCTTTACTCCAGCTACAGGAGGCACTGCGCTCGTAGGCTCTCGTCCTGCTGGGGGACTTCAACCACCCCAACATCTGCTGGAAAAGTAGCATGTTGAGCTGTAGGCAATCCAGGAGACTCCTGGAGTGCATCGAGGACAACTTCTTAAGCCAGGTAATAGCCTTACCAGAGGGGATGCGATACTGGTCCTGATGGTCACAAATGCAAATGAGCTAATCCCTGACGTCAAGACTGGAGGCAGCCTGGGTTGCAGTGATCATGCGCTGGTGAAGTTCGCAGTCCTAAGGGATATGGGTCAGGCAAAGAGTAAAGTCTGGACTCTAAATTTTAGAAAAGCAAACTTCCAGCTGTTCAAGGAACTAGCTAATAGGACCCCCAGGGAAACTGCTCTCAGGGACAAGAGAGCAGAACAGAGCCGGCAGATCTTTAAGGATGATTTCTACAGAGTGTAACAGCTCTTGATACCCAGGTGTAAGGTATCAGGCAAGGAAGGCAAGAAATCAGCATGGCTGAGTTGAGACCTGCTGGACAAACTAAAGGACAAGAAGGAAATGTACAGACAGTGGAATAGGTATCCTGAGAAGAGTATAGGGATGCTGCCCAGTTGTATAGCGATGGGGTCAGTGAGGCCAAGGTGTGGACGGATGCAAAGAATAATAATAAGGGCTTCTACAGGTATGTCAATCAGAAAAGAGAGGCCAAAGAAAGTGTACTCTCCGTGATGAGTAAGACTGTAAACTGGTTAAAATGGGTGAGGAGAATGCTGAGGTACTCAACAGCATTTCTGCCTCAGTCTTCACGGGTAACCTCTCTTCCCACACCTCTTGAGTGGATGGACCTCAAGGCAGGGACTGGGGGAGCAAAGTCCCTCCCACTGTAAGAGAAGATCAGGTTTGTGACCACTGGAGGAACTTGAACATATGGAAGTCTATGGGACCTGACGAGATGCATCCCAGAGCCCTTAAGCAATTGGCTGATGTAGTTGCCAAACCATTCTCCATGATATTTCAAAAGTCATGGCAGTCAGCTGAAGTCCCTGGTGAATGGAAAATGGGAAACATTGCACTCATTTTTAAAAAGGGTAGAAAGGAGGACCCTGGGAGCTACCAACCTATCAGCCTCACCTCTGTGCCTGGGAAGATCGTGGAACAGATCCTCCTAGAAGCTATGCTAAAGCACATGGAGGACAGAGAGGTGATTTGAGACAGCCAGCATGGCTTCACCAAAGGTAAGTCTGCCTAACCAACCTAGCGGCCTTCTATGATCGAACGACTACATCAGTGGACAAGGAAAGAGCTACTGATGTCGTCTATCTAGACTTCTGTAAGGCCTTTGACATAGTCCCCCATAACATCCTTCTCTATAAATTGGAGAGATATGGATTTGATGGGTAGACTGTTCAGCAGATGACGAATTGGTTGGATAGTTGCATCCAGAGGATAGTGGTCAGTGGCACAATGTCCAGATGGAGGTCAGTGACAAGTGGTGTCCCTCAGGGGTTCATATTGGGACCAGTACTGTTTAATATCTTCATCAATGACATAGATGGCAGGATTGAGTGCACCTTCAGCAAGTTTGCAGACAACACCAAGCTCAATGGTGGAGTTGACATTCCTGAGGGACAGGATGCCATCCAGTGCGACCTGGACAAGCTCCAGAAGTGTGTCTGTGTGAAGCTCATGAGGTTCAACAAAGCCAAGTGCAAGGTCTTGTACCTGAGTCAGGGCAATTCCCAGTATCAATACAGGCTGGAGGATGGAAGGATTGCAAACAGCCTTGTGGAGAAGAACTTCAGAGTACGGGTGGATGAAAAGCTGAACATGAGCCAGCAATGTACGCTAGCAGCCCAGAAAGCCAACTGTATCCTGGGCTGCAGCAAAAGAAGCGTGGCCAGCAGGTCGAGGGAGGTGATTCTGCCCCTCTACTCTGCTCTCATGAGACCCCACCTGCAGTACTGCATTCAGCTCTGGAGTCCTCAGCACAGGAAAGATATGGATCTGTCAGAGAGTCCAGAGGAGGGCCACAAAAATGATCAGGGGGATGGAACACATCTCCTCTGGAGACAGGCTGAAAGAGTTGGGGTTGTTCAGCCTGGAGAAGGCTCTGGAGAGACCTTCTAGCAGCCTTCCAGTACCTGAAGAGAGCCTATAAGAAAGATGGAGTGGGACTTTTTACAAGGGCACGTAGTGATAGGACAAGGGACAATGGCTTTAAACTGAAAGGGTAGATTTAGACTAGATATAAGGAAGAAATTTTTTACAATGAGGGTGGTAAAATTGAGACAGGTTGCCCCTCACAGAGAGGCAGTAGATGCCTCATCCCTGGAAACATTCAGGGTCAGGTTGTACAGGGCTCTGAGCATCCTCTTCTAGTTTAAGATGTCCCTGCTTACTGCTGTGGGGTTGGAATAGATGACCTGTAAAGGTCTCTTCCAACCCAAGCTATTTTATGATTCTGTTCTATGAATAATACTCAACGAAGTACTGTGTGTCTCAATGCACCTAACTGTGTAATAAGATCCAAACAAAGCTTGTAAAGCAGAAGGTAATCATTTCTATGGACCTGCAGAAGCTATGGAAGAGTCCTTCTGCTTTAACAGAATCTGCTCCCCGAAAAATGTAGAACTCTCAGCAGTCCCAAAGTGTAATTATTTTAGAACAGAGCTAGCTGTATTTCTCCTCTTTTTTTGTAAGTGTGTGCGCTTAGATCTAAAGTTCAAGTGCTCCTTTGAAATGACCACAGTAAAATGCCACTAGAAGATTTAAAGATACACCCCAGTAATGAGCTAGTAATAGAACACTAATTATTATTAGTTTCCATTAATAATCTCCACTCATTTGATTTGGAAAACTCTTCTTTTGTATTAGAGGTCTTAAACATTTCCATTGCCTCCTGGAATTCTGCAAGTCTGGCTCTTACTCAGTCATTAGCTTCTTTATCTATGATATTTTCATCACACAGAAAGGTTTACGAAAAACGTCGTCCACTTCAGTAGAGGTGGCATACTCTCTAGTTATAGAGAGGATGACTACTACTTTCTACATGAAGACAGATTTAGAAGATCTAGATGCTGGGCTGAAAACTTGCAGTTGATCAAGCTTACACTAGTCTAAATTAAAGGAAAAAAAAAAAGTTTTGTTTACTACATCAGTACTTTGTTCGTAAATGAATCACCTTTGCCAAACCCTGAAAAGCCAGAGAGTTAAATGTCGGCAGCCTATGTTCTGCATACAAAATAACACGTTGAATGTATCTGTGATGTCATTTTCATTTTTCCCTCTCATCTTTACTCTTTTCTTATCTTTACTCTTTTTATGGAGCAGTCTCTGAAAACATCATTTTATTGTCCTATAGGACATACTCCATTTCAGTTTAGAGATGAGCAGTAGTAAAAAGTTTATAATCCCATAGCAAGGACTAGTAAATTCAGAAGAACTGTTTATCTCTTTCCTTTGAAATTCACACAAACAAATTTTCTATTTAGCAAAGAAATAGTTACTACATTTTGTAACTCATGTGTGAACATGTATTACATGTTTAACTTTATGTACAATATGAAGAACATGAGGCTGAAAAACTGAGTCACAAAGACAAAGGTCCAACTGTAACAGCTATAGTTTAAACTCTATTTTGTTGACCAGGTTGGCAGCAATGATGCAAGTGAGTTTGTCTGTGGTTGAACTTCAAGGAGCCTCAGAAGCTCAGAAGAAATTTACTTCAATCAGAAGCTGAAAATAACTGGTTAAATATATTTGCCAATTCTTTCACTATAGTGCACAGAAGGATACAAATCCTGCCAGAAACCTTTCAGCCTATCTGGAAGTTTATGTTTTTAATTCTGGAATCTCCTATTTCAACAACTGCTGCATTATTAAAGACAAAAAAAATCACAGCACCACAATTCCATTATCTAAAACATGTGTGAAATCTAATTAGAAGAAAATTAAGGATCATGATGAGTGTTATAATTACTTAGTCTATCCAGTTCTGGTGCTATATTTGGATGAGTGAAAAAAAAACAAATTATGGCAAAAAAAAAATATTTCTCATCTGGTACACTTGCTCTCTACTTCTGAGCTAGTTTTAAGAAAAGAAAACATCCTTCTTTAGGATCAGATCAAGAATTCTCATTGCATAGACAAAATGTGTACACAAAAGAAACATCGCAGATTTCTATAGAAGGAGACACAGACTATGTGAATCCTCCTTGCATCTTAACTGATTCCCCTAACAAAGTTACCAACTACGCACAGCAGCTTACTGAAGACTTTGGGCTTTATTGCTCCCTCCTCCCCTTGATCCAAACTAACAATAGCTCACTGAATCCTACCCAGGAAACAAGAAATCAAACTGGTATTCTGTATAAAGCACTGAGGTTTTTTAAAAAGACCTCTCAAGAATGGTTGTACAAATATTTTCATGGCACTCTACTTCTATTTGAAATTTGTGTTTGAAGAAATAATTCCAGGACATGATATGAATCAGTGCACGTTCCTGACTTTGTGGATCCAAAGAAACTGTATTAATCTCTGAATCCCTTTGCTACTGATTTTTGCACAAGTAATGATTGTAGATTTCCTGAAAAAAGATTAAGAGCAGTGGGAAGAATGAGAAGTACCTTAGCCTTATGATTTTGATATTTCCAGACAATGACTGACAACTGTCTGTGCACATCACTTCGCATGCACAGATTTTTTTTACCGTCTTCAAAAAAATCTCCCCCACCCCAATTTTGAAAGTCCCTCAAATATTGGAACTTGTTTTCTCCTGGTGCCAAGCTTGGCTTTTGGAAGGAAGCACAGAACAGAATGACAGGATAGCAAGTTCTGAGATCACTTCAGGAATGAACTTCGGCAGTATGTTCAATGATTGGGTTTAACAGTGCACAGTGCTAACTCTCTCTACAAAATGATGGCCAATACAAAGGATACTTTTAGAGCAATCAAAGAAAGGGAGATGCTATCAGAAAACTTGGCTTAGGTGCTAGGATAGGTGAAGTTATGCAACTCATGTATACATACATATAGTTCATAAAATAAACTTCAGCTGAACTGAGAAAAGTTGCAACTTCTAAGTACAGTAAACAATGAAACATTTGTAGATAGAGTGAAAACTCAGTGCAGAAAACCCCTCCCGAGAAGAACCTATTTCACTTAGAACAACTGGTGGTTCTGGTAGGTAACTCTTGTGAAGTATTTATCAATACTGGGGAAAGCAGAGACATTCAGATAAATGACTGACTCCTAAACACTGCTCAGTGTTATGAGATCATAATACAAATACACCTGTGTCAGCTGAACTGCTTCTGTCAGGACTGAGCTAGGACAATGACTGTGACCTTACATCTTAAATATATTAAGACTTGCACAGGAATCACTTACCCAGGATATTCCATCCATTCCTAATGGAGATCAGTTCATTACATGATAGATTGCATGATCATATGCGACTACTGACAAAACATGCTGTGGTTGCCTTTCAGAACAGGGAAAGGGAAGTGTAGAGAAATAAACTTCAGTTTATTAGGGCTGAGTCAGTCAGTGATGGTGACAGTGCCTCCAGGATAACATATTTAAGAAGGAATAAAGAAAAAAAACTGGGGCAGAACCTGCAGTGGGGGGAGGGGGCGTGGGCCTGGCCCCCAGCTCCCGTGCGGCCGGCTGTCCGTGCTGGGCTGCCCCTGGCTGGGTGGTGGGGTGGGCTTCCGCAGGTCACTTGGGCGTTTTCCAGCCCGTGCACGGCCTTGGGACCAGGAGTGGTTCCCCACAGTCTGGTGACATTGGCCAAGGGCCTTCATCCCCCTAAATCAAGACTTGAGAGGGGTGGGATGGGAGAGAAACAACTCTGCAGACGCCAAGGTCTGTGAAGATGGAGGGGGAAGAGGTGCTCCAGGTACCGGAGCCGAGATTCCCCTGCAGCCCGTGGTGAGATGGCAGGCTGTTCCCCTGCAGCCTGTGGAGATTAACGGTGGAGCAGGGATCCACCCGCAGCCCGTGAGGGACACCACGCCAGAGCGGGTGGTTGCACATGAAGAAGGCTGCGACTCCATGGGAAGTTCCTGAAGGACTGCACCCCGTGGAAGGGATCTGTGCTGGAACAGTTCGCGAAGAGCTGCAGCCCGTGGGAAGGACTCATGTCGGAAACGCTTGTGAAGGACTATCTCCCATGGGAGGGACGCCGTGTTGGAGCAGGGGAAGAGTGTGAGGAGTTCTCCCCTGAGGAGGAAGGAGCAGCAGAGACAATGTGTGATGAACTGACCAAAACTCCCATTCCCTGTCCCCCTGTGCCACCGGAGGGGAGAAGAGAGAGGAATCGGGAGCAAAGTTGAGCCTGGGAAGAAGGGACAGGTGAGGGGAAGGTGTTTTTAAGATTTGGTTTTATTTCTCATTATCCTACTCTGATGTGATTGGTAACAAATTAACTTGATTTTTTCCCCAAGTCAAGTCTGTTTTGCCTGTGACCGTAACTGGTGAGCAATCCCTCCCTGTCATTGTCTTGATCCTCGAGACTGTCATTATATTTTCTCCTGCCCATTCCGCCAGGGGGAAGGAGTGGGCGAGTGGCCGCGTGGTGCTTAGTTGCCGGCTGGGCCTAAACCACGACAGCTGACCAGAGAACTCTATACGAAATGTTATCTCATCCATAGGTGTTGTCCTTTGAGAACACAGCTACAGTCAACAACGAATTCAAGAATACTTCCCTTTTATTTCAGTTATGATGTTTCCCTATTCCCTAAGGAAATTGACTTTGATGTGAATTTGTATTTGTATTACAGTCTCCTTATTTTGAAAGAAGAATTAATTTCTTTTTTGTATCTGCCAACAACAGGAAGTTGAAAAATTAATTGAACTGTTAACGCTGAAGAACAGAGAGTAAGCTCAAGTCTAATTTTGCTTCTAAGAGAGATCTTGGAAAACTCTCATCTATTGGGAAACATTGATACCCAGCAAGTGAAAAACAGGTACTTAGCTTCACAAATTTAGTCAAGGAGATAAAAGGTTAAAAGAAAAAAAAACAATAGTGACTAATATCTATGAGTGTAATAGAAGTCTATTGTTAGGTGTGAGTCAGGTGTAATTCTGGCAGTTTGGTTGTTTCTAAAGAGGCATCCCATGAACCTTAGTTCCATGTGGCTCTATCCCTCTTTCAAGGCCCCACGATAAATTAAGAGGGAGAACAGAACTGGGTCTTCACAAGTCCACAAACCAGTTCCATATTCAATAACCTAAGGTGTCTCCAATGCAGAAACTTACCTTAAATTAATGAACATGATAGTTAGGGAATTACGATTCCCATTATTTAAAAAATAGATGTTTTTTGGTAAAGGACAGATGTATCTTCTGCATCTTTATTAAACTGCTTTGTTTTAAAAACTGGCATTAGAATGCGCAATGCACTCCAAAGCTTCTCAGAGTCCTTCACGTGCCATTTCTTATTCTTAAGGCACTACAATGAATCAAATCTTCTACACTGAGAACTATAAACAATAATAAACCCACATCTCTTTACGAGTTAAAGATAGAGCAAATACAGATAGTCAGCTGATAAAGTACCAGATAGCTGTAGCAAGACTTACAGTGTATACAGTGTTCCCCAGAAGCAGGTAATCTGAAGTTTTACCATTGCCGAATACAGTACCTGGAGAAGGAAACAGTGATAAAAACACTTAGACAGATATAGTGGATATTTAAATATATCTAAAAATCTCATTTTTGGTACAAAAGAGATTTTTGGTAACACTGCCTACAAGGTAGTAACAGCAGATTTCACCTTGAACAGTACTGAACAGTAGAGATCTACGATTTTTAGAATTTTTAGTGCTTTAAAACTTTCAGTGTCTTCAGGAATGACAATAGAAACAGTAGTTTTTTGTAACATCATATACCAATATCAGTACTATTGTATTCAGTAATAATTAGAGTGACTTTTAAGTTCAGAGATACAGTATCTTACCTTCAGAAAAGTATGAAATAGAATAGCTGTAGTGTACATTGATTGTAACATATAAGTAAACAGAAAGCTTAGAGTCAGATTTTCACTGATTATGGATATTTTCGGTATAGAAACTTATCTTTGCTCTTATCCATAATTGCGAGATTCAGTTTAAGTAAAAATACAGAATATACTCAGTTTTAATTCTTGAGATGCTTGTTATTAAAAACATTTTCAAAATTTACCTAACTCAAATCTGTGGATTCATATAAATACACACCCATTTTGCACATAGGGATATATGCACAGCATTTATGCAAAGAGTTAGTGCCCTAAAGAGATGTGTTTGCATAAAAATCACATCTACTGTGTTTCTTAATTTCAGAATTCTGAAGCAGTGCATTTATGCTTATTTAACAGAACTTATTTTATGACTACTGCTAGAGCACAGGTTTTTCCGATCCCAGTTCTGTGAAAGTTCTTGGCAGATATGGGACAACATACAACTGAACTATCCAGAGGGAATTCCTCATTCTCAATTATAAGTACTGAGTTTGCTAAATTTTTAAGTGTTCAGTTTAGAAATGCTTTTAGCACTGAAGATTGTTCGTATACTGCAACTAAAGCATAACACACACTCTGCTGTAGAGGTTCTAATCACTGTGATATTGCTTTTTACTGCCAACATATAATGAGATATCAAAATACTCTGCATGTAGTAAGGAAAGATAAAAGTACAAGCCAAAAAAAAAATCCAAAACCCAAAAAGAACTCCAATTAATGATGAAAGAGCATAAGGAAGGATGCTTTTAAAAAACTGTGTTGGAGAAAGTGAAGAATAAAGGTGTTTGGGTTCCTTTTTTTTGGGGGGTGGGGATGAGTTTAAAACTCCTCTGATTGGGCTGGCAAGAGGAAGGTGACAAGCTGATAAAAACAGTCTGCAGTTGAAAACACTTATTTTCCCACTATCCTCAGCTAGCATAAGGTATATTAAATGCTGCTAATTAAGTATACTTTCATATCTGTGTTGAGTGTTTTTCCAGCCTTCATATCACCTTTACACATGCTTGAAATGAAATTTGTTTTAGTTGTGGATGAAGAGTGCTCCTTTCTGAAAGCTCTTCAGGACTTGCGAGGCCAGTTTATCACAGAAGAAAAAAATCTATTATTGATATTCTGGAAGAGACAGCAGGTTAAAGTTCACACAAAAAGTCAGAATAAAAATACTTGCAAACAGTTCTTCTTAACCTAGCCCTCTCCCATTCCAAGATGAGGAGCTCACAATGGCTGCCTCCTTAGCTCTAGTGATACTGGTTGCATTCCTGGCAGTTCCTCAATTTAACCTTCTCCCTGGACAAACTGGCACACCACAAAGGACTACAAGAGCTCTGGAAGCCTGAAAACAAAGCTGAGACCATGAGTCCTTTCAAAGGTTACACAAAAGAGGGAGCAGTTGGTGAATTTACTTGGACTTATAAGCTTGGCTTCTGCCATTTACTGTTATGTTGAAAAAGTTGCATCAGAAGAAGCTTCTGTGAAGACTTATGTTCTTGTCACTTTCCATATCCACATGACAGTACATAGAGTGCAAAGACCCTAGTTTTGTGTACTGTACAATGGTTAGGTCTCATAGAGCAAATTCTGACAAACAATTCTTAACAAATCCATAGCTATTCTCTGATCGTCTATTTCTTGGTAGACTCTACCACAATGCATACAGTTTGAAATTTTCCACTTACAGACAAGAAAGAGGTGGACAAGGGAGACTCAAAAGTACACAGGAGAAAAGGCTCAAAGAAAAGGATAGCTGTAAGCTCTGAGAAGATTTTCATCATCTTCAAGATTTGATTTTCAACGTTCTACTAAATACCTGCTCAAACATGCACTCTGCTGCTTAACAATACGTACCTAGCAGTAAAGAGCATAATGAGGATAAAACAGAGGAATAAGCAGGCAGCTAAGTATGTTCCCATCAGTCAGAGTGCTGGGACTTTGCACTCTTATGCACAAAGCTGAGCTATCTTCCATTCTTCCCATGCCTTTTATGCCTCAGGATCCTCCAGCATAGAATCATAGAACGGTTTGGGTTGCAAGGGACCTCAAAGATCATCTAGTTCCAACCCCCCTGCCATGGGCAGGGACACCCTCCACTACACTAGATTGCCCAAGGCCTCACATCTCTTCTTTGCTAACAGAACATGGAGGCTGAGATCTGTTCTCTGAAGTTTCTCTCTGTGGTGGATCTCTCTGGCACTCATCAATTTCTTCCTAGGAAACTAACAGCATTATTTCCCTTTCCTCTGTACATGCACAGCCATCAGAGGTTTAATTAACAGCAGCGTCCACCCTGCACTCATTTCCCCTTCATGCAGTACTCTGTGCACTACCAGACCCAGAGCAGGCACTGGTTATACCCCCCACCACGTATGCAATGCCCAGGTCCCAATCCTGCTTCCCTTGCTCACTTGGCCTTTCTCTAGGAAAGAAAGAGGAAAACAGAAGGCAATTTGTTCAGACTTATGGAGGCCACTTGCTAGCATGTCAGTTCTAGCCCAGGAGCTGCGAGCTGAGGAGGCCTCCATTACAGTGCTCCCAAGTGCTCGTGCAAGTGAATTCACACGTGAACTCTATTCTGCATCACCACTTATACTCATTGAACACTTCTACATCATGTAATACATAAATCTCTCACATGGGTTGGCTACAGCTTTGAACAGGAATTTTGGTTTGGATTTGAGGTTGTGGTTTTAGAGCATGCATTGACCTGTTGGGACTTCTTTCCTCCTGGGCCATCTAAACCTCTCCAATGCAAAACAATGAACTCACATCCAGTGGCCTTCCAGGGAAAACAGGCTGCTACCTACTTCCCTTTACCCATCAGAAGTCACTGAGTCTAAAATACTCTGCAGGAAGTCTTCCCCTTTTCAGGCGCAAGCCGCTGTGACTGTCTCACAATCTAGCCTCAACAGTTCCAAAATGTCCATGAGAATATTTCTGTCCCCTGTGCCAGGGCAGACTGCCTGTTGATATCAGAGAAACTGAGAAGACTACTAATTTTACAGAAAAGCTGTATACACTTTTTTTTCCCCCCAACAAAATGGAGGCAAAACAAATCCCCACTCCTATAAGAGCTCTCATACACACAAAGATTCCCACAAACTGGAAGCAGTGCTTTCGAGTTTCCTCTAATTAATACAGATTTCCTCCCAACTGTCCCGTTTCCTTCTGCAACTCAGGTGTATCTACAACAGTTGAACTGGAAGAGTGACAGGACTGAACTGTCCCAGTTTCCTCTGTCACAAGCCTACTCACATAGATGTAAACTAATGAGTTAGTATGCCCTCGAAGTAATATGAGAGGAGATACATAAATTGGCAATGAAAGCGTACAATATGTAAGAGACAATGCAAGGGACAGTAGTGATTTAGGCTCTTGCAGGTATTTACCATGGTAGTGGATTATATATATAAAAAAAAGCAGCATTATTAAATAGCAATTTCTTTTTCTCCATCTTGTTTGAGATTTATATAGATTTATGCATATGTACATAATATTACTCCTACTTTTAAAGACATTTTAAATAAAATATTTTAAATATACTGCACCTACTCTAGGTCTAGAAATGGTAACTTGAAATTTAATCAGATTAAACTGTTAGTATTTATAAAGCTTTCCTAGGAAAAAAGAAGGTATCTAGATATTTTACACCTTTCAACATTTGTATTTTTATTTTTCATAATACTTACCATGCTGGAGGGCTTTCAGTGGAAACCAAAACAGAATGACTGAGTGGAAGAGGCCATTTAAACAATGAACCCAGAAAACCTAAGGGAAAACAGAAAATCCATGAGAACCATTTGCAATAAACTAGCTCTGTGAACCCTGACCTTTCTTTTTATCTGTGTGTTAGATTCACAAAATGTGTTTCTGTCAGGCCACCACTGTGAAGTAATATAACTGACAGGCACTTTCTGCTTCTTAGCTCTTCATGGGTCATTTGTTTATTTTTGTTTTGAAAAAAAAGTGTGCATTATCTCCTTTTAATTTCAAATCAGAAGGTAAATTAAAATGTATACATATGGGAATATCATCAGAAAAATTAAACTAAACCAGACAATTGGAACAATTGCTACATTCTAAGTAGGGAACTAAAAAGGACTCTAGCTTTTATAATTTACATTTTGTGTAATAAGAAATTTGGATAGTAGAACAATCAAAACCTGAATTTTACATATACCTGCCTACATATTTTCACATACAAAGGAATTAAATAAGGACAAATGAAAGTATCTTCCTTAGATTTCCTCTTATGTGCTCCATTCTTGAAGTGCATAGCTTCATCATATTAAACTTCCTTTAATGTATTTGCTAAATAATTCAAATTTTACTTTCAAACTTGTTTTCATTTTTAAAATATGCCTTCTCAAAAGACCTGTATTAAGTTTAAGGATAAACAAACTACTGATGCTTTCCATAATATATTGTACCTAAAGAGACTTAATCAAAAATACGTAACTCATTTCCTTCAGGATAGCAATCGTGTTTATTCATTAATAATGCTTTTGACAATCATAGCCTTTATGGTAACTACCTGATGTGCATTATGAGTGTTAAGATGTTCAAACAATTGAAATTAAGTTGCCTGCCTCACAACATTTTCCACCGTGTCTGAAAGTCTTTTGTTAGATTATACAACTACACTAGGTTATATGATCCAATTTACACTCCAATACTTTGCACATTTGAACTTGTGCTACTCATTAACCTTTGTCTCTCCTTCTTGCTATGTCATTACCAGAAGTTTTAATTTGACAGAAAGCACAGGTGGGTGCAAGAAAAATTAGTTCTACTTTTCCATTTTCCTGACCAATTCTTATTGTCACATGCTAATCCTTTAACCTCTGTCATGACCTCATAACCTTTGATCCCTTTTACCATAACAAACATCTGCATCAACATTCAAGGCAGTAATGTTTCCAAATCTTTAAAACCAACTATTCAACTTATATAGATGGGAATTTTGTAGCTGGGAAGCTTGTAGACGTTTACTCATAGTAAGTGTTGTATAGGAATAGCCACAGAATTTCCAATGAAGTCAATAATACATCTGTGCAATAATAAAAATATTACAGACTTATTTAAAAACACAAAAATCCAACAATTGTAACTCATGACTTACATAACTTATTAAAACTATCACAACACAAAAGTGTCCACATTAACAGACCATGAAAAGTCTGATATTTGTAAAGCATTCACAGTGACAGAAGAAACTATTTTCCCTAGTTTCTTCACAACTTTCAGGTTTGTATTTGTGGGTGAAGGGATGAAGTGACAAAGAAGGAGAAAAATCTCATACACTTCAGTGAAACTTGAGACAAATAATTCTATATAGATAGGGGTACTCCATTTTTACAGCACAAGTGGCACTGACACAAGAGTTAAGTATGCTGTATCAGCTCTGCACAACTACTACAGACCATCACATGTAGGCATTGTTAATTGAATGAAAGACTGAAAACATCCCCAAGTTCAACAATGACATTGCTTGAAGTTTCCCAGTTATATTTAGAAAAATAAAATAAAATCACAAGGATCTCTTACAAACATCATGGTGTTCATGAAAATGCAGGTTCAGGAAAAAGTTTCATTCAGTTTTTTAAAAGAGATTACTTATGGACAAATCTGTAGAAATGGTGTATATTTTATATATTAAAGAGTCCTACATTCTTTTACTACTTCTTGTGCTAGTCTCTCCAAGATGAACGTCATCTGCCTCCCACCAAAAGTAGCCTCAGGTTCCTTTTGATCCACTTTGACACATTCTTAACTGTCTGAGTATTTTTTCCCCAAAACTCAAAATTAAACCATAAAATCACAACTCCAAATTGACAAAGAATAGTACCAAGTCCCTCCCTCTACAAATCCAATGACAGTTCTCATTGTCCTCTGCAACACTTCTCCACAGGCTTCAGTAATCCATTTCCATATAACAGTACAAATACATATAGCCCAGCAACAGAGAGGTCTAATCACTTCTGCCTATAGAAGACAGCTTTATTACCAGCAGAGAAAAAAGAAAATCAGGGCTGAAAAAAATAAAATGCTTGCTGTCCATTTCCGTACTTGCTAAAAATGGATAACTATGATTTGCACCACCCACAGACAAGTGGACAACTGGAAACTGGAAATTCCCTCCATTTTAAATTATGAGCAGCATAGAACAAAAAGGATAACTATACTGAATTCCTAATAATTTCTGCTTTAATTATATTTGATTTTTTAAAAAAATCTACCTTAGTATTGAAGTCCAGTGCATTTTGGGAAGTCTTGTATAACTCAGGATATTTCAGCATGTTTTCTTTTCGGCAGGATCTCTCAAATATTCCAAGAGTTAGTGGAGGCATTGCTGTAAACATCTAGTAGATGAATTAAAAAACCCAAACATATTGCAAAACTTTAGAGGTAAGGACTTGCTTAAAGATTGCTTACTCAAGAAACTTTCATGATTATAGTTGAAAATAACTGAAAATACACAAATGATCTTACCACATTGTAAAGACCTATACACCATCTTTCAAAAAGGATTTGTCCAGAAAAGCCATTGACAAATGCAAACCAGATCTGAAAAAGAGGAGAACTGTTTATTACTCAAATGTCTTGCAAGGTATGATAAACAAATTTTTCTCAGCTTCACAAAAAGGTGTATCCGTAGAACACATTTACAACAGTTGAACATGTTCTAGTTTAAACCTATATGAAAAAAACAAAACCCAAACCCAACTTGCCTTCAAGAACAGATAATGAGCTATCTAGACAAATATGTGAGCAATTCCATCTAAACATGAAAACATTTAATGCTTATTTCAACATTTCATTATACTCATAGGAAGTAGCTATTTTAAGAAGAAATGTCATGTTCTTTATGTATTTAAGAGTGATTTAAGCTCACTGGATTTGTATTGCATTTAATTCTTAATGGAATAAAAATTTTGAGAAATGCAGAGAGAGGGGGAAACCTACTGATTAGAAGCAGTCATCATCTTCTCAACATTGTCAAATCTCCTAACTAACAGAATTCATGTAGTAAGCTGCAGTTTGAAATTGAAAACTGTACCAATATTCCTTACTCCTAAACGAAACTCATGAAAGGATGTGGCTTTACCAGAGTACTAAATCAACTACAACTACTCAGTTAACAAGCACTAACTCAACTACAGAGTGCTTTAGAGAAGCAACTGAATATCTCTTTCATTGTGTTTTATCACTTTTTGCTTAAAGGTTAAAAAAATTAAATTAATTTGAAAGGCATGATAACACATTTTCTTATGTTTTTAAGCACAGCATGCAGCATGACTGCTGTCTTCTGTTTCTTCATGCTTATATTAGTTCACTGACAAAGTGGAGAAGCAGCATGCCTGATGAATCTTTATTAACAACTTACACTGAAACAGTATTGCCTATGACAAACATAAGCTGTAAGATGACAGAAGTTAGGATCACCTAAACAACATTCTACTCAATTTAAGACCCATGTTTTTCAAGTGAATTTTCAGATGCCGCTTTGCAGAGACTCTCCTACAGTTCACACTTAATTTGACTGTATTATGGAAGCATGAATGAGTACAATCACTATGTATGTTTATCATTATGTACCCAGGCCGGCCTCCAGGTGACCAGATTCTCTGACCAAGCTCAGACTTTTTTATCATAGAATCATAGAACAGTTTGCGTTAGAAAGGGACCTTAAAAGATCATCTAGTTCCAAGCCCCCTGCCACAGACAGGGACACATTTCGCTAGAGCTGGTTGCTTAAAGTCTCATCCAACCTGGCCTTGAGCACTTCCAGGGATGGGGCATCCACAATTCCTCCAGGCAACCTGTTCCAGTGGTTCACCACCCTCAGAGTGAAGAATTTCTTCCTTACATCTAATCTAAACGTACTCTCTTTCAGTTTAAAGCCATTACCCTTGTCCTATTACTACATGTCTTTGTAAAAAGGCATGTTTGTGAATACTTTGAGATGGAAAATAACCTGACATTAGCAACTATTAACACTAAAAATGGGAGATAAAATCCAGCCAAAATTGCTATTTGTTCAACTAATAAATGAAAATAGATTTTTATTTTTGGTGGCAAATTATTGGAATAAGATTGCATACAAAATCATGGATGTTAGAGGCTGCAACATAGAGATATAAAATACACTGAATTTTCTGAAGTCTTATAATGCTAAATTTCTTTACTTTGATTGATTTAACAGTAACAAGCACTCTATTTTCTAACCTTTCAGTCTATTCACTGAAAAGACAATGGAATTACTTTATGCCAGTTAAATGAGATTTTTACAAGCTCTTATGTATTTTGAGTTTTGATTTTTGAAATACGAGTTACGATTTAATTGTGATGAATTTAGAAGACATTTATTAGCAGCAGTTTCTCAGTGGCTGGGTATGAGGGAGTGAGATGAGTGCATAATCAGTTGTTCATTACTGAACAATTAATTATGCACTCAACATCGGCACAATTTTTGGATGCTTTACAACTAAGCTAAATGTGTGAACATAATCCAGAACCTCATCACCACTGCTGGATACAAGTTGCGCTCCTCAATCGTCTTCTCTCTTTTCAACATTCTCATTATACATAGTTCCTACATTCTTTTACTCCCAACCTAGTAAGATAGCTAGGAAGACAGCTCTCAAGAGAGGAGTGAAGGACAGATGTTATTATGCGATTGATCTCTTAATTTTTTTTCTTGTTTGTATCAAATACTGGAGTAAATTTTAGAACGCTTAATTTGAAAGAGTTTAGGGTACTGTGAAAGGGCAGTTTTAATAGAGAATATATGAATCAGTAGTTGGGCACATGTACATTTACATGTACACATATGTATACATATATGTACATTTACATGTACACATATGTATACATATAAATATGTACACATATTTATATATGTGTATATCTCATTACCAGTATTTTCAGACAGAGTTTAACAAAAGTATGACTCTCTAGGAATAAAATAAAACAGACTGCAAGTAGAGATATACTTGACCCTTCATGATCAAGAAGTATCTGGAAAGAACATTAACTTTCTGTTGTGATTTATCTAACAGTCAAAATGTTATAAAACTTTAATTTAAAGAGAAAGGTCTAAATACAGGTACTGAATCTATTCCACATATTCATTTCTATTAAATGTAAGTGATGCTAGACAACATTTGAAAATGTTTTGGAGTGACTGTTTTAAAGCAATGCAAGAATTTATGATAAAATTTCAATTTACAATGTATGTCATACACGAAGTCACTACCAAGCCTCTCAGAAATGCCATGCATCATTTTATTCCTTAAAAACACTGATGCTTTCAGTTTTATTTAGTACAGAATTTAAGTTAAAATTTTGAAGCTATTTAAACTCTGAAAACTACAGTTTTACTGTAGAATTGTAAAGTAATCCTTTCAGTTATAACAGTAACTTCCTGAAATCTTATAATTTACTTTCTTCCAAAGAAAGCATGCAAGTGACAGGCATTTCACTTTAGTTTTAGTGTAATAAGGAACCGGAACAAATCTTGGTCAGAACTCTAGATGCAAGCCAAGAAGAAATGAAATTTGATAGCACCCCTGGGTTCTAAAGTTCTTCTTGAATCTATCTGAAAAAAATGGCTGGGAAGAGAAACCTTGTATGTGGCTAAAAACAATGCCCTCTGTAGCAGAAACACTACTATTTAGTGGAATACCAGACACACTACTTTAAGAGACAGAGCACCTTTAACATCTAAACAGGGTTTTTCTATTGTTTACAAGATAGTATTTGAATATTCACAATAAGAACACCTATGGCTCAAAAATAATTAGCACATCTAGAGTGGGGTGTGTGTATGGGAAGCAGTAAGGATAAGTACAGCCCTCAGCTCAAACTGTAAGAGGCGAAGAAAGTCAGTCACCCACTCACCCCAATCTCTGAACCTCAGATCCTAGAAAATCACACACTTAACTGTACACGAAATAAAACCTCTATGGAGCTTACGACAATATTGAGAGTGACAATGACAAGAAACACACGGTGTCTTGCTTCACAGTGGGGAAATTTATTCAAGGAAAAGTGTGTTTCATTCTGACTACGATGAACAATGAACGCAATTGTACCTGCAAAACAAGTTTTTAGGACATGTCATACATGATACTAATTTAGGAGCAGATTCAGTCACTTCTCTCCTAGGAGGTAGGTCCTACTCTAACAGTGAGAATTACTAATCCAGCACCCCTATACAGAGGGACAAGAGACAGTCTAAATTACTTCTTAAGGGCACCCATGTAAATGAGAGAGAAGTAAAAATACAGACCATTTGAAAGTTCAATTGCTACAGAGTTTCCATTTAAAATGAAATATTTAGGTTCACAGCCCATCTAAAATGAGATAGGCCTCAATGCAGATCCCTGTCTTTCTAAGTTTTCAAACCGTGTAATGCAAAAAAGTGGACATGAGCACAATCGCTTCATGCTGGTGTGTTTTACATGGAATTTGGTGCAGTTTGCATATATTAAGTATGCCATGGCATTATTAAACAACAGCACCTAAGCTCTACAGCTCAGCAGCAGTGAGTATATGCAGAAAGCCTGCTCATGTTTGGGGATAGGCAGGATATGGGTCTCAATATGACCACAGGCATTCATTCATCTGATGCATCAGGCAACAGAATTTGGGAACAGAACGGTAAACTTCAGTTATGGACACGAGCAGCAGAAAGTGTGTAACACTCAGCAGTGGGATAAAAAGGGCTTGGGGAAAAATACACATTTCTTTTTTTAAAAAAAGGAGAGAAGATAACCCTCATCCAAAGCTTATGAAAGGAAAAAGAGCCCACTGCAGCTCCAATTACTTAATTGAATTGTTTATGTAGTATCACTTAAATCGTTACAAATGGACATGTTAAAGATCTGTGACTGAAATTTAAATGTGAACTCCACCCATCTGTTTGTGTCCTGGTCTTTCACTCTTTTGTTTGAATTTTCCCCTACATGAAAGACCTATACAGATCTTAATTTTTTTTTTTTAAATTGTAAACCTTTTTCATATAACATAAACCAGTTATTTTATGTTATTACTAGTTATTACTAGCTAGCAGAACAAACAGTAAGAACAGGAAAATTTTGTCCCTCCGATGTTGAAGGGAGATTTGTGAAATTTCACAAAATGATGTTTAATAAAAGAGTATATGCAGTAATGTTAATTATAAACCCAAACCCAATCCATAAAAGAGTTCTCAATCGCTAGACGAATCTCAATCCCAACCGTCATTATAAAGGTAGTGATGGCCCCCCTCAAAATAAGTATGAGACTCTGAATAGACGTACCCTATGTGAGTTTGAGGCTTGGTGCAAGTTTAATAATGCATATTAGCAGTCTTTTAGAAATTCAAAGTTTTCACTTGCAATTTAGAATGATACTTCAGAACACAACCTCTAAAATTACCGGGACTAGACCCATACAAAAGATGAACCCCATATTTAAATATCTACTGAGTTAAGATACAGAGTAGAAAAAGTTATTCCAGACCACTTCTTAGGGAGTTTAAATGTCAATAAACACTCACCATAGGCCTGTACCATTTTCTGAACAAAGAAACGAATAGCACTTATTTCCTATCACCTCACAAATGCCTACGAAAAACACTATTTTAGATCAAATTGAATCTATTACTTTACTTGTTTGATTAGTACTGAGCAGACATTTAAAAATACAACATGCATCTATGACATAAAGGTAGGTATTTTTAGATATTGTCAGCTAATAAAAGGAAACTTTTAAAGCAACTTCCAGACATGCCTTTCATAGTATTATTTTCTAAACTCCAAGGCAGAGGAGGTGTGGCCACAAAAGCTTCACAGACGTTTTCCTGATGTAGCATTTCTGCATATTAAGCAGCAGCTTACAAATACTCATTGAGCTCTCTGCTCCCACGCCTGATCCGTACAAAAAACTCAAAAGAGAGATTCAAGACTGGCAGTTGTCCTTTCTAGAGACATTCAATGATGAATTTCTGCCCATTCACTCACAGTATTGACATGAGCTATTAACATCCGTGAAAGTTTTCTGAGCTGACAAACGTTGGGTATACAGGAATTCAAGTAGAAGTCATCTTGTCTTCCAGAGAAGGTGTATATGGTAAAATGCTTGAATGCATGATATATAAAGGGTCATAACCCATATAAAAATGATCTCTCTGCCCTTCCATCTGCTCAGGAGGCAGAGATTACGTCTTCTAATCCTTCGTATTTTTAGACTATGATCTCTGTACCTTGCATTTAACTTGCTTTCACAAAGGGCACAAACGGTGGGATATTTATACCTGATTTAAGTTATAAATTTGCAATGTCCTTGCAGGTGACAGTGACAGAAAATTAAGAAAAATAAGGTAATATGTTCTAAAGCCCAACTTTGTATGTTTTCTATAAACACAAAGTATACCGTTTTTCCAAATACTTCAAGAGCAATTGCTAATCAGTACTTCTGGAATTCTGATCATTTAATCAGACATTCAGCTTTTGAAATGCAGGACCTAAAGTCTGCCATCACTTCTAAAGCAAAAAAGGATCTTTAATAGATTTACTTTTTGCTACAGCTTCCTACTTTATGTTTTTCTAAACAGGCTACAAACTTGCTACTACTTAGATTGAAATCTATTTACATTAATAACACAATAAAGAGGAAAAAAGGAAAATCTAGAAAATGTAAAAAATATGCACAGAAAAATGCACACTTTTTGGCCACAACACTTGTACATAAAAAAGATGTTTAAAGTATTTTCAAATATTGCAATAGTGTAAGATCACATACATAAATATCAAAATCAGAAATATTAAACTAATGTTTACATCAGGTCTAACAGAAATAAAGCATTTTCTTTTGGTAAAAACCAGATACATATTCTGCAAGTTCAATGTATTAATTGGAAAATATATTAAAAAACGTAAGAAAGTTTTAAGAATAACTGTTAACCCCACTAACATAAAAATAAAAAAGACTGACCTATAAAAATTATTATGTGATCAAGCTTTGTGACAACTTTTTTTCCACATTTTTAACCAAAAGTATAACTGTGAATATAAAGTTTGAATCAATTATGAACATAATTACTAGATATGTATTTGGTTATAAGAAAATAAGCAGCTGTTGAAAGAAAAAGAGGAATAGTAGATAAAGCAGGGGGAGAAAAAAATTTAAAAATCCATTTTGAAATATGTTCAAAATTTTAAGATTGCCATGTGGTCACGAAAACTATAGCTATCCATGTTGTCTTAACCATACCTACCAACAAAGGTACGTTTATTACAACATAGTCCTACTGTATTTTTAACAATACTCCTTAAAATCCCAGGTGAGAAAACTAGGTCAGCTACTTTCAGGCAAGTATCCCTGTTCACGAACTAGAGCCTGAGGAGGCACAGGTACCCCATCAACAAGTGAAAGGTATGCAATAGTGTAACTTAAACATGTATGTAAAAACTCTAAGTACTGTTTTGAACAGCAACAGCCCTGCAGTTCAACAGCGACCTGTAAAAGGGCTTCAGATTGCAAACCAGACAGCTACTGACATCAGCTCAAAGAGCTTAAGTGCATACATCTCTTGGCAAATTTAAGGCTACTTGTAACTCTATTTTTAAATTCTGTAATGATATAGATACAGAATTTTATTAAGCTAGCAGTATTATGCAACCCAAACTTTTAGTACGAATATTTAGTACACCTTTTTAAGAGAATTGGGCCTTTTAAAGTAAAAAAAAAAAAAAAAAAAAATCACTAATATTAATCAGTTTATTAAAAAGCAAGATTCAGTAAGTGTTTATTGACAGTGTAAATGTTTCTTTAAAATCATATTAATAATGAAAACTCAAAATAATAAAATTTCTACTTTCAAGAAATCCTATTTACTGTACTGTAAAATTACCTCGATAATATAAAGGACTATATTCTTGTAGAAACAATACAAGATGCATTTAGCTACTCTGTTATAATTCCAGGCTCCATGAACCAACAACAAGTTCTTCAAATACTTGAACTGCAAAAAATGAACAAACATATAATCAGAACAGGCATACAGCAATATTAACCTGATACTAAACTACTTTATTGTAGTCTTTTAAAGTGCAATGACTTACCTGAGCAATTGAGTAGTCTGAAGAATTAGCAGCCTGTAGACCTTCATTCCCACTAATACCAACACCAACATGTGCTGTTTGTATCATACTAACATCATTTGCTCCATCACCAATCGCTAGAGTTACTACCTTAACTTGCTTTTTAACCATTTCTACAACTTCAGATTTTTGAAGTGGTGATACCCTAAAGGGGTAACAGAAAGAAAAAGCTTTAATACAGGACTTTCAAATGAACATACTTTCAAAACATTACTTCACATTCTGTGAAAAGGTAATAAAACCAGGCCACCTAACATCCTGCTCAGTGACATGATCTTATTATTACCCTTTAAGCTATATACTAAAAGCACATTCCCAGCGAAATTCATAGAAACCTTTGATTTGTTGAAGCAAGACATTAAGAGGACTGGAGGCACCCAGACTTAACAGCAATGGGTTCCCCTAAAACCAAGTAATAGAAGAAACCCCAAACACAGCCACTGCCAGTGTTAAGTTATAGCAACTGCAGATTTTGGTATATTTTGTTGTTACGCTTTCTATTTTCCTCTCTGTTTAAATATTTGGTTTATAAACAAACAACAAGATATTTAAGACACCGATGTCAATGCAGACAGCAACAAAGTGGACCACCACTATCTTAACATAGCCTACACTGCTAGAGGAAGCAACTTTGAACATTGACTCTTGATTAACTGCCAGTAACTTCTCTCTTGTTCTTTTCAAGACTACTCCAATTGTCCACCGTTAAGAAAATGCCTGTGCACAGACGAGAGGACAAATTATTCCAGGGATGACTCAAAAAACTCTATTGATGAAACTATGTCAGTTTTGGCTCCATCTACCACTGTGCGTGTCACGTGTACCTTCCATTTCATGTTGTGAACGTTCAGTCCTTATAGTATTTGAGATATATCGTAACTGAAAATAATATACAGAAATTATGTGCTAGGACTGATGTGTTTCACAGGGTGGGGACGGGAAGGAGTAAACCTTAAGCAGTGTGGCAATCCACTCTTGCTCTTCCTGGGACTGGAGTCAAGGATCAGACCCTGCCCCTCTCCTTTTGTGATATAAACAGAAACAAAAAGAAATGCAAAAAAATGTCTTCTCTCTGCTGTTCACTGTTTCCTACAGAGAAAGCAATCCTGGTACCAAAGCATGACTCCTGCTGCTTCCAGCCACAGTTGCTGTGGAGCTGGGAATGTGCAGCCAGTGAAGAAAAGATGGAACCATTCTTTCCTCATCTTTTTTTCACAGGTTTCCAGACAAACTCATTCTAGATGGCTCCATGCAAAAACTAAATGGGTAAGAAGTGGAACTTGCCACTGGATACACACTGACATGAAAAACTGTGGAAAAACGTGTATTTATAATTCACCTCCTAGAAGTCTTCCATATGCACACTCATGGCAGTAACCCCTCTGCACCATAAGCTTCTGAACTTTCCAACTGAACCTGTGAAAGATTCCCCCTTTGGTGACAGAGTTTCAGGGTTAAAGATTATATTGGGATGTTCACACCCTGACTTAACTCTTTCAGGTCAAAAAAACCCAAACCAAAATAACAACCAGCAGAATATACGCGAAATTAAGAATACAAGTTTTTGGGAACAAATTTGCAAAGGAAAAGCACAAAAGAGCTGTAACTTCTAAATGATGTTTCTTCCTGAATGTACTCTGTATATTGCTACTCACTGGGATACTACCAAGAAACCCGGCCTGTGGAGCTCATAAGTACAGCTCTCATCTGAACCAGGACTGCTGCATGGCACTCAAAAGCTCAGTAACAAGAAAAAAATATTATCTCCAGGCACCAAAAATTCAGCTGCATTATAGCATTTATGCATTCCTAAAGATCCTCACAAAAAGTACTAATGGCAATGCAAGAAAACCAAAGTTTTTCTTAGATCTGACAGCTGAGACTGGTGATTGATTTCATGATGTTCAATGAAAAAGCACATGTGGCAGAAAAAGTTCAGAAAAAAACTCAAATCTCTAATATCACACTGCTATTATCCATTACCCATTATCCATTTCTTTTATTAACAAATCCAGCTCAAAAAGATTTGAGAAAAGCTAAGTAATCAGGGCAAAAAGTGAAAAAGTCTTTGAGAAATTTTGATGAATACATCCTTTAGAAACACAAATGTCACTAAATGAACATTAATTTCCTATGAAAAGAAAGTAGTTTTCCACTAAAATAAAGGCTATTTAAGTTTTTAGCCATCCAAGGTAGATCGTGATTATTCTGAAACGTAACTTAAAACTGTAGAAGAAAACCAAGGTTTTCTAGACATGCTTTTTCACATCCTGAAACGCATATTTATTCATATAACATTCACGTAGAATTAAGTTTTGTCTAAAATAGTAAATTACAGTAACAATCACAATTCTTACTAGTTAAAACATAGCACATTTCTGAAACTCAGACTACTTAAGAGCTGAAAGAGGATCCCAAACTATTCTGGGTGGAGGAAGTAAACTTGCCAAGCATATTAGAGAGAACTGGTTTAAACCATTAAATTTTAAACAGAAATTATTTTAAAAAATTTGAGACATTATGATCTGTCTTTCCGCATATTATTTTATACCCAGATATGAAACTTCAGAAAATAAAGCACATTACCTCTCCTATAAATTCCTTAATACTACATTTCAAGTGTATTTGTTTTATTAACTGTAAGCCCCCTTGTCTTTTGTAGAATAAGATCTTATGTGTGCTTGAGGTCACACTCATCATAATCACATAACTTCACTTTACACCATACTTTCAGTGATCTCAGTTTATGACTTAAGTCCGTATCAAGGCACCCATTTTCCTACAGAATAGACTTGTTCTTGATCCGATTTCAACGTCACAAAAGAAATAATGAAGGAATAAGATGAGCTCCATAGATCATTAGTAAAATAAGAAAAAAAATATTTTCCATTTTTCATCTAGAAAATGTCAATATATTTTCATTTTTTCTACGGTATAAAGTTATAGGAAGGAAAAAACCCACCTGTTTCAACAAATAGACTAAGCCTCAATATCAGAAAGGTTACTGAGTTCTCAGCATAGGGTTACGCTAACGGTGGTTGTCTCTCTTTTCTAGACCACGGTGCTTAACACTGAGACAGTGTTGTTAGTGGAAACTGGGTACACCGTGTCTACATCCATCTCTGCTCACATGCAATATTGTAATTCCCACTGGGTTCAGTAACAGCTTCTTCTGGTTCCCCTCTCCATGTGCTAAAGGATGCCTTCTCACAGTTCACCTGTGGGTGATGTCTCATCCCAATGCCTATTCTGTGTCACATAAAATTTCTTAAGCTTTAAGTACAATAAATCAGAGAAAGGTCACATAAAATTTAATTGCATAAATTTGCAAAAGGAAAAAAAATAAAGGAATGAAAAATAATGCAGCCTTCAGATTGAAGATAGCTATCTAGTTAGTTTATTCAGCAGCCTGCACAACACATGCTGTCAGACTTGTGAGAAAGGTACTTGGAACGAGTACAGTCTTGTGGTGAGCTTGGGACGAAAGCGTCTGGGCAACAGCCCTTCAGAAGAATTCTGTGGTCCAGGTATATCAAAAAGCATTTCTATGATCTTTTGTTACATGTTTTATATGAACTCTGCTGATGAGTATTGTATCAAGACTCACTACAGCCAGCTTATATACAAGATTCCTGACCTGAGGACTTCTTTTTCATCTTTTTAACTTTTCAGGAACAGTGGCTCACTTCCCTTTCAGACGATGTTATAGGGGCAGTCGGAAGATGGCACTTACTCTCATTGCCTGGTGCATCAAATTCATGGTGAAACCAATACAAAAATATATTTTGTTCAATTTGTTCACTCTTAGCTGTACATTTTTACTACAGAATAATCCATTTAACATTCTTCTTGCACGCATTACTCTGTAGCCAATATAGAGTTGGAATTCAGTTTGTCAAAGTCTTTAAGCCAAACATCTGCTTGGAATTAATAACATACACAGATTCTTGAAGTGAAATGTCTACTGAATATTTGTCAGCTTCCTGTGTGTTGTGGCTAGTCTTTGTAAGAATCCGTAGGTAATAAATGCCTCTGAACAAGTGAACGCAGTCCGAAAACTTCAAAGCAAGTGATGCCATTTTCACTTTTAAAACCAAGGAGTGCTTAAAATGTTTACCACCTTTATAAGGATGGAAAAGAGGCCTACATTTTCATTTAGTCAGGATGATATATTTAAGTGATTTACATTAATTAAAAATTAATTTTTTTTTTTCAAGGAAATGAAATTTTTGTTACTAATGATAGAGCATTAACAGATTTTTTTTTTGACAGAATTCTGACTTTGGAGAAGCATGTGATATTAGAAAAGCACATACTAAAAGAAGTGAGTGCTACAAGCAAATATTTTAGTTTTAAACCTGCAGCCAATTTTTAAACAACCACAAAATATGTCAGAGCATATACCTAGATACGTATTGAAACCAGCTGACTAAGTATATTATGGAAATGTTGAAAAGGCAGAGAGAATGCTACCAGAACAGAATCTTTCATTTTGCATTTCTTGTTGTTCCATCACAAAAATACAACCCATAAAAGACAGCTATATGTACAGAATATCTTTCAATGGTCCTATAGTTCAACAGAAATGGCAATATTGTCTCTTCAAAAAATGTATTTTCAAATCAAGGAAAGAGAAGAAGAAGAAACCTAGTTTTGAAAGATCAGTTCTACGCGCATCTCCTGCTTGTTACTTAACTATACTGAGCAAAACTGGAACTAGTAGAACAAGCACAAAGTTCCAACCTGCCTGTCAGAAAGACTACTAGCATCAGAACCATGTTTATACACAGTATAAACTGTATATCAGTGTAGGATCTCAGTTTAAAAGGCAGTAGGACCTTAGTTTGGAATTCAGAATGTTTCATGATGGAGCATGGCCACATAGTTAAAGCATAAAAACCAACCAACCAACCAATCAAAAAAATCAACCCCAACAAACTTGGTGGCGTAACATATGGCTTGACAGAAAGGACGGAAAGACTACAAACCAGGTGTTTATCTGGATACTATAACCTCATCTGCTTTTCTTTGTCCTTTTGCAAGGCAGAAAAATAGCTCCATTTTGAACACTGTTTTTTCAAATGAATCTGCTTTATCTTAATGGAACATTATTAAACTTTATCTGAACACGAGAATCTTCCATTTATTTATCTTATTAATCATCAAAAGTAGATGGTCTATTAAGGTGTATTTACAACAGCTTCCATATTTGTACACACCATGTCTTTACCTACAGGTCAATAATAAGACAGGTAATAATGAGGTAGTAGGCAGTGAGCTTATATAATTACTGAAAGAAGATATGAATTTGGTAGGAAGAGATACTGAATTTTAAGAATTTTTTTTCTTGTACAAAATCCAGGCTGACTTCCTTTTTCATAGATTTTTTTCCTAAAGCAATTACCATCAGACATAGCATCCAATTTAAATAAGGAATTAGACATAACTTGAACACACAGACAACTCTAAAAATTTCACTACTACATTATGAGAACTTGAATTTGTGAACACTGCTCTATATGGAGAAACAGCAAGCTATAGGGACTGTAGAAGAGCTTGAATACTCTGTTTTTGAGTTAACTTTTCCTGTTTTAACATAGGAAACAGCTTTTTCTATGCTATTACAAAGGTCAAAATAATGAAAAACACTATAAGAATATTAACTGGCTATCCTTGTAGTAGTTACCTCAGACACTGATGAAAACAACAGTGATTTCTACAGTTGTGGAATGTTTGATTGCATTTCTAATACAGATATCCTACCTGTTTTGCCAATGATCTCGTAAAGAAAAGTCTTTGCTTCTGCTCTTTGACAGATTAATGACTTGGCATAAGCCAAGTTCTTAAATATTGACAGGAGCAGTTCTTGTTTATCTAGCTACCAAGCATCCAACTTCCTTTTCAATTCAATCATTCAAATATAGAAAAGGTGATGCACTGCTCAGGAGACGCTTGCAGCTTTTGTTTAAATCCATAAATATGCAAGGCAGTCCAAAATACATAAGCTATCACTTAATACAAGTCCTACGTATTCCTTTCTTAATATAAATCTGGAAACACTCAAAAACAAGTCAAACTGCTTTCATATTATGTTTATTTAAAGAATGCAGATATTTAATTTTCTTTGATCTGGAAAAAGTTCTCTTGTTACGGTAAGCTTGCAGCTCTAATAGCTGGTGTTTACAGGAAAGGATTAAATATCTGACTGTATAGAAGAACCCCAAAGCAATTCGGAGTAATAATAATAATAATAATAAGAAGAAGAATAATAATAATAAAGGTGTTTTCAGGGAATAAAAATCACCCAGAGTAGTACCTTTAACATTTTTGTGCGCTTCTTACACAATGTAATCAATGGCTTACAGAAAAGGCAGAGATATAAAATTTTGCCTGCAGAGGAAGCTCTATAATGGAATTCATATGTGCTAAAGCCTGAAGATAACTGTAGTATCAATTTAAGGTCAAGATTAGTGTCTCAGTCTTGCTGAGACTATCCTTGACGGATAACAAATTATTTTTCTAGGTATATGCAACCTGAATGACTTTGTTTGACAGGTATGCTCTGTAGCAGACTGCTCTACAGAAACATACTGCTTGAATGACTGTATTTCTTAGCTTCAGTTACTAAAGGTTTGTTTTGTGTTTTTTTTTTTTTTTTTAATATTTCACAGCTGGACGACAACACGGATATGTGTATTTTCTCTGAAATAAAAGAGATTTCTTAATTTTTATATGTCAATAAAAATACTGTAGAGCAAGAAAAACGCAAACCTTACCTGCAACAAATAACAGCTTTACATGACAAAGCCAAATCCAGAAAATATTGTCTGACTCCAAATGTCAAAGCATACTTCAGAGATTTACCATCAATGATGAGAGCAAAATCATTTTCCTTCCTTAAAGCATCGCCAAGAGTACTGCAATGATGGCTGAGCGTCTCTCTTGTTCCCTGTTGTATGAAAAAATTGTGTCCGTTATTCTTAATTCCTACTATTCTGAAGTCCATTTTTTTTTTCAGTATGATATGAAACACTGGCATTTCCTTTTTTGAGGAAATTACCTTTTGATTATGCTATCAAATAGACAGTATCAAATGAAAAAAGGATTTCCAACAGCTGTACTATTAGAAACCACAATAGAAATGGTGTGTAGGATCGCTCTCACGCTCTGCCAAAAAAACAAACGTGTGTACATTGTGGTGGAACTTTTAATGCTCTTTGAATGACGACAATAGTTGCATAAATGTTTGTTAAATGATATTATTAAATAAGTTTGCTATATACCTATGCAAAGACAGAGTTACTGAATGCCTTCTTTGCCTCAGTCTTGCTGGGGGCTATCCTGATGAGTCCCGGAACCCTGAGGCTCTTGAGGAAGTCAGCATAGAGGAGGAGTCTACCCTGTTTGATGAGGACTTGGTTAGGGACCAGTTAAGCAACCTGGCCACCCATAAGCCCATGGGTCCTGATGGGAGGCCCCCGCGGGTGCTGAGGCAGCTGGTGGATGTCACTGCCAGGCCACTCACCATCATCTTTCCTAAATTGTGGGGAACGGGAGAGGTGCCTGAGGACTGGAGGAAAGCAAATGTCACTCCAGTCTTCAAAAAGGGCAAGAAGGAAGACCCAGGTAACCATAGACCAGTCAGCCTCACCTCCATCCCTGGAAAGATAATGGAACAACTAATCCTTGGTGCTGTCTCCAGGCATATCAAGGATAAGAGGGTCATTAGGGGCAGTCAACATGGCTTCACTAAGGGGAAGTCATGCTTGACAAACCTGATAGCCTTTTATGAGGACATCAGCCAGTGGGTGGATGATGGTAGAGCAGTGGATGTGGCCTATCTTGACTTCAGTAAAGCATTTGATGCAGTCTCTCACAGCATCCTCACAGCTAAACTGAGGAAGTGTGGTCTGGATGATCGGGTAGTGAGGTGGATTGTGAACTGGCTGAAGGACAGAAGCCAGAGAATAGAGGTCAATGGGACAGAGTCCAGTTGGAGGCCTGTATCCAGTGGAGTCCCTCAAGGGTCGGTGCTGGGACCTGTATTGTTTAACATATTCGTCGATGACTTGGATGAGGGGATAGAGTGCATGGTCAGCAAGTTTGCTGATGACACTAAACTGAGAGGAGTGGCTGACACACCTGAAGGCTGTGCTGCCATTCACAGAGACCTGGTCAGGCTGGAGAGTTGGGCGGGGAGAAATTTAATGAAATACAAGGGCAAGTGTAGAGTCTTAGAATTTGGACTCCCATGTCCCAGTACAAGTTGGGGACTGAACTGTTGGGGAGCAGCACAGAGGAAAGAGACCTGGGAGTCCTGGTAGACAGCAGGATGACCAGGAGCCAGCAATGTGCCCTTGTGGCCAACAAGGCCAATGGCATCTGGGGTGTATTAGAAGGGGTGTGGTTAGTAGGTTGAGAGAGGTTCTCCTCCCCCTCTACTCTGCCCTGGTGAGGCCGCATCTGGAATATTGTGTCCAGTTCTGTGCCCTTCAGTCCAAGAACGACAAGGAACTGCTTGAGAGAGTCCAGCGCAGGGCCACAAAGATGATTAAGGGAGTGGAGCATCTCCCTTATGAGGAAAGGCTGAGGGAGCTGGGTCTCTTTAGTTTGGAGGAGACTGAGGGGATCTCATTAATGTTTATAAATATGTAAAGGGTGACTGTCATGAGGATGGAGCCAGGCTCTCCTCACTGGCATCCAATGATAGGACAAGGGGAAATGGATATAAGCTGGAACATAGGAGGTTCCGCTTAAACATGAGGAAGAACTTCTTCCCAGTAAGGGTAACAGAACACTGGAACAGGCTGCCCAGAGAGGACATCTTCTCTGGAGATGTTCAAAACCCGCCTGGACGCGTTTTTCTGTGATCTAATCTAGGTGGTCCTGCTCTGGCAGGGGGATTGGACTAGATGATCCTTTGAGGTCCCTTCCAATCCCTAACATTCTGTGATTCTGTGATATGTATATATAAAATAACAGAAACAATTTCCATTCACTGTTATATAAAGTGGCCCTAAAAGTTTAGAAAAAAGTAAAAGAAATGTCAAAGATAATTCATAATATAGGTACATGCATTATAACTGATAATTCTAACCATCATATTAAATTCATATTTTAAGAGAAGCCTGCATCAACTATATGATATATATATTATATAGAGGACCATATTTTCTGCTCTTCAGTTGCTAAGGATAGTTTGAATCACATATACACGAGTCACTATTCTGTGATCCAGTAGAGAACTTCACATTACATTCAGCAGACAATACATTCATTTGTATTTATGCAGGAGGACCTCATAGACTGCTTTGGGGAGGTCACTAATATCTACTAAGTTACAGTACAGCTCTACCATAGAGTGTCATGAAGGAGAAAAAAACCTGCTTGTTGCATTTCCTTCTTTTTGAATGGTCTTCCTAGAGCTACAACATACTCTTTTGTCTATTGTTTCCTGCTTCACAGCCCAGAAGTAAGAAAGGTTTTAGAGGAGAAAGGAAGATAAAAACAAAAGTCCAGCTTATAAAACACTGAATTTGGAAATCAGTAACATCCTATGCAACAGTATTCCTATATTTTGTCTAAAAATTCAACAACTAAATAATTGTGCTAATTCAGTGATGTCAGACATACATAAATAAAATTTGGTGTAACCACTTAAAAGTAAAAACAGTGAGAAGTAATTACAAATCTTAAACCCTCTGGAATTAAATTAAAGATACTAGTTTGCCCTTCTCACTCAGCTTATTCTGCCTAGTCACACACACTGTCTGTTTTTTGCTTACTTTGCTACCACTGGCCTTCTAAAGATTCACTGGTTTATCTAAAAGGCGATTAGGCTGTTATGGAATTCTGCCCTTCAGGTTTCCTGTCTCTCCCCCCATAGGAACTGCAATGGAAATGAGGTGCCACTGTTCAAAATCACATATTAGAAAGTCTTTAAAATGGTAATAACTTCTGTAACTGTTTTCCAGAGCATCTTTCCTGATTAAGAAATATTGCAACGTAAAGGAACTATGAATTTTCCTCATCTCCATGGACTATTTAGCTTCTGACTAAATTTAAGCAGTACAATAGCCTGAGACTTCATGTTCCTCTTGCATATGGTTTCTTTTCATACACGCAGCATAAAACTCTTCTGTTTAAATTGACCTTAATTTTTTATCACAGACATACATGCCATCAGGTAGCTCCAGGCATGCTACATACTAAAATATATAAAAAAACTCCAAGACAACATAAACACTTACCCCAACTGTAAAACTGACATATTTTTAAAAATTCCTTTGTGGGCCTACATGGAGCTCTATGCTGCAATCCAATGGCTTAAATTAAAAGCAGTATCAGAACATCCCTTACTCGCTTCTACATCATTTCCATTAAATATTTATCAGTGACATTGAATGGTAATCAGACTATTTTCTATTATTAAGTTCAAAATTAAAAGAACAAAGCCCTGTTCTTTACAATTTCTGTCTACGATTAACAGTACTATACTGAAATTTAGCAGTCCTTTAATTAATGTGAAGGCAAAATAAAATCCAGTGTTCTTTTATGCAACTGTCAGAACTTACCAACAAAACCATGTTTTGTTTGTGAAGCTAAGCAGGTGTTCATGGGAGTGGAGGCTCACAACAAATAATGTTGCGAAAAAGAGAGATACATTAATGCTTCCTGGAAGTCTTTCCAGTTCTATCCCAGTCAATGCTAACTGGGGAGTGGGAGTAGGGTTTGTGCTATTTTTCTATTAATTCCATAAATAAGGGTATTGGTTCATAGAAAAGAGGATCTCTTATTTCAGCATATTCTTTGTAAACACAGTTCACCGAGCTGGAATACAGTCTAAACAAGTAGGTTTTTTACTCTAACTTCCTCTGTCTTGCATGCTAAGGTCATAATAACAACCAAATTTAGGAGGTATTTGTTTTGTTAAATCAGCTTTACATGTCTTAGAGGGCTGTGTCCAACTGTAAAAGGAGTTGAGCTAGCTCCTTTTTAGAAGAAACCACTGGTATGCAACAGATATTGTGCTATTATTGCAACAGTAAGGCCAAGAAGCATCCGCTTACTGCCAGTCTTTTCAGTACTGTGACGGGTGTGCAGACCAAGAGAAGCCAACCTTCCTAACTCCTTTGAACATACCACCATCTTCATCTAGCCGAAAGGCTGCACCCACATCTTGCAGAACCAAGGAGTAGAGGACTGCCACAGTACAACTCATCTCCAAGATCCTAAACACACAGGTCCCACTACACTGGGATTTTTTTCTTCAAGGTTTCATGGCTGCTCAGTCCCTCTTGTGCTGAGGGAACTGGGTTGTTCAGCAGCCCTCATGGGAGCAGAGGTTCCCTGCAAGGTAAGGGACAGAGTCCCAGTACAAGAGATAGATCTACGTTGCTCAAACGCCAAAGTTTCAGCCATATTCCTTAATAGACAATATTCCGATTAAGTATCACGGCCTCTTGCCAGCTGTTGTTGGTATGCAGAAAGGAAAGAGGAATTACATCCACCTTTGCAGCTACACTGACTCAGCGTTCTGCAATCACAGCAGTACATCCCTCTCTCCATTTCCTGAGACCGCTCCATTCCTCCATCAGAATTTTCAAGGCCATTTTTGACTCAACCAGTCACACTAGAGATGGAGACTGACATCTGATTCCAACCACACCAGCAAGCAAAAGGTAAAACATAAGGAATATAGTAATTAAACAGTGAAACATGCATCATCAAATGAGGCAGAAAACTTTTGATGGAGTCTCTTGTTAAAATATTGGCATAGAGCTAATTTATTATTTTTTTAACTGTCTCTTGCTCTCAAAGCCACTTACCACATTTATCTGCTCCTGAAAAAACATGATTTGTATTATCACCACAGACAGATTCACAAGAGACCAGTTTGCAAATGTAATTTCAGCTGCCACACAATACCTGCATCCCCACGAAGAATCATAGAACGGTTTGGGTTGGAAGGGACCTCAAAGATCATCTAGTTCCAACCCCCCTGCCATGGGCACAGACACCCTCCACTACACCAGGTTGCTCAAAGCCTCATCCAACCTGGCCTTGAACACTTCCAGGGATGGGGCAGCCACAACTCAGAGTATTAGAAAGGAACTTTGGATTAGTTTGCTTGGGCAGTGCTAGGTGCTACTAAAATCACATGAAGCTCCTGGCTTCACACCTGCATGGATGGAATTATTTCACTACATGGAATTCCTTTGTTCATCACTCTGAAGTTCCTTTGTGTAGTAGCTACATTGTAATTTTGGAATCTGTAGACTGAGTTTCTAGTCATTCAGTAACATTTTGTCACAAAGACCATACGGTCTTCCAAGTATGCAATACTACAATTAACTGAGAAGATTATAAAAACAAATAAAAAAGCAACCCCATAAAACAAACAGAAACAGAAAACCCCACCAAACTGTGGCTTTAGCAGAATTTTCTGTGTTTGTCCAGATAAACAGATGCTCCAAGTTCTTTTTCAGGCCATCTCCACCGTGACATCTGGATATTTTAAAGCAGTAAGGTCACATTACATTAACAGAAAGCTTTGCAGATTTTACTTACATCAAGAGAGCCTTCATTTATAACAATTAGTCCCATGTTCTTTCTCAAAAGTTTACAGGAGTGACCTGTTAAAAACATTTTTGTTTTCAAAAATTTGTTCCATAAAATCCATTATAATATAACAAAGCATTTTTTTTCCTGTAAGAGAACTACAAATAGAATTTAAAATAAGACTCCCCCAGCTGAAATAAATGGTAAAAAAATTATATTTCATTCTATAAGGATTAGACGTACAGGTACCAAGTCAAAACAGACAGAATTTTCCTAGTTGCAACTTCTGACTGTGGTGCCTTATTCACAGAGGTACTCAGTAGAAGGACAAGCAACATCTTTACAGGGAGTTACAGACAACAGTAAACAGATCTTCCTTAGCCTTGCAAATTTTTTGAATGCAACTTGCATTGCATACAAAATTTGCATATATACATGTTCCCATTTTTTTCTTTTATTCTTTGATGCTTTAAACATAGTGTATGCTGTGTGCTTATGAAGCAGGCAGCCTAGACAAACATACATTACCGTTCTTAATAAAGTAAAAACACTGGTATTATCTATATTGCCTCAAACCTGAAGGTACTAAAGAAAATAACCTTAGATCAACTGTATCATGTGCACACAAAAAGTTCTTTAATATTAAAAATAGTAACAGTAACAAAAAGGATTCCTTTGACCAAAATAATGCTTTATTTTGGGCACATATCTAGGCTACTGCAGAAGTGCTGATAATGCTCACATGCAGATAATATTACATCTTAAATGCAGCTTTCATATATTACTATTTAAAAACACAGATTTATTGCTGTTGAAATTAGTTAATTAATTATTTTTTTTTCTCCTTTATAATAAAAGGAAAGAATAAAAGGAAACTTCTGATTGATGGTAAAGTTTATAGTACTTTAATGCACAATACATATTGTTTTGCTTTAGTTAAGATTATGGTCCCCGTCAGCCTTCTTGGAAAGAAGGAAAAACGCAGAAGGGAAACTAAGCATACTTACATTTTCTCAATACTATTCCCTCTCACTGTCAAAACCCAAATAGCAAATTCTTTTTAATTCATTTTAGATGCTACAAAAGAGCACAAATGCCTATTTTTTTTCCCTCCTGTCTATGATAACATGAATTTTTCGTGCTGCTACTGTTTTAACGGAGGAAGAATCCATCATATTCCCCACTCTTCCACTACCAGTGACTGAAAAATAACTTAATATTTAAATTCTGGAATGCCATATAATAATATGATTCTTTACAAGATACCTTTCTGTTCTGAAAGCAATTTTACTCTAGAAACTTCTATTTCTAAATCAGTAACAAAGCCATCAAATAAACACAAATATAATACCGATATTAATAGCAGTCTCCTGTTTGTCCCCAGTAAGTATCCAAATTTTTATGTCTGCTTTCATGAGCGTCTCTATGGTTTCAGGCACTTTGTCTTGTAGTTTATCTTCAATTGCTGTTGCACCAAGCAGCTGAAGATTCTGTGAACATAAAATATTCAGTACATGTAGAATTTTCAGTTTAAATTCAGTTTTAATCTTCCTGTTTCTTTTGTTTAATTTTTCATATTTACGACAAGATGAATGCTCTCTAAATTCATTAATCAGATTTGATATCAACTAATAATGATCTTCCAGTTTATTCCTATGAGCTTTAAGTTAAATACCTAAGTGGCTTGACGAACAGCACAGCACCACCACTAAAATTTCACCCAATTATTCACAAGCTCAGCTGCTCATTCAGCAACAGCTACCTTTTCCTGAGACGTACCCCTCTGATTTGACGACTTAAGGAGTGCTATTTACACAATAGAGCAACCCTGAAAAAAGCTCTCCAGTAGTTCAACTCAACATCAATCCTTTCTGGCAAGGTAGCTACTCGCTGCAAAATCTTTGTCAAATTCATCTTTCCTTCATTTTGATCATCTGAATTGCAAGGACTACATGACACCGCTTTGAGTATATTGCTAGATTTTTTCCTGCCTAAGCATGATTCCTCAATGATGATTCAGATTTTATGGCATAGAAAGCAAGGACATTAATTAGAAAACCATTCTGATCGCTGCGTCTCCCAAACAAACAACCCAGAAAGCTACACATACTTTTTCGATTAGTTCATAGCTCTCCTCAAGCTTGAGTGCTCTGTTCTGTATAGCTGTAGAAGCACGGTGATAGACATCTAACCACTCTTGATAATCACTTTCTGAAATCTCAGCCACAGCAAAACACAGAGTTCTTAAGCCTAAAGAGAAAGCACATAGTTAAGTATGATTCAGTATTTGTTAGTCCCTTCCTTGATCTGCCTGCAATGAGTAACTACTGAAAGGAAAATTTTTCTGTATTTTATATATGTTTATGTCAATTTTCAACTTATTTCTTCATGTCCTGAAGATCTTTTATAAATATATATAAAGTAAAAATTATATAAATGGCAATTTATCTGACAGAGTAACTCTTTCAAGGTAGATGAATGTAATACAGGTGATGTACTTCAGGGGAAAAAAATTACTGAAATTTTATACAAGATTCAATTCACCTTAAACTTCAAACAAAACATGAAGCTATATCAAATTGCACTTGCTGAACAGGTATATACATTACATTTTAGGAACATTAAAACAATAAGATTGAATTATATTTCTGAAAAAGATTTTATAAACGTCAATGCTGCAACGCTGGAAAGCAATAAAGTTAAAATCTATCAGCACAGTGTTACACTACCCTCTTCTTCACCCCTCCTCAATATCCTTAGGAAATTCTCAGCTGAAGTCTGAAATTTACCATCTAGAAGCAGACTCTGAATCTGCTCAGATTTAATTTTCCTATCTCTCAGATTCTTTCAGCTTTCCAAATCCTTTAAACAAAATCTTTGTGTACAGGCAACATTTGGAGATTTTACTTAATAATCTTTCATCTGGTTATACTTAACAGATGTTTTCCTTCAGCGGAAACTTGCATTGAGCACCACAGCAAAAATTTGAGACTGCAAGATTACAAGAAATACCTATTTTTTGACAACACACATTTACATTCAATTTAAGTAGCCAGGTGTGAGTGTCCTAACAGTTCATTTTCATATATTAGGAGATTCTTAGATTTCTAGAGCATGAAATTGGCATAACTCCTTATATACTGAGAAGAGCATTGCTCTAGCCAAATGATGTCTTATGAAGCCACAATTTGCAGGCAGGTAGATTTAACACGGGGACAGACAGGACCAATGTAGTTAGTGCCTTTGGCCTCTCTTCTAGGAGCACTATAACCAGGGATGGCTAAATGCAATCTTTATTTGTCCACAGGTTCCTGTTGTTTACAGCGCAGCCCCAGCAGCAATTTTGAAATGATGGAGAATCATGGAATCACAGAATCATAGACAGAATGGTTAGGGTTGGAAGGGACCTCAAAGATCATCTAGTTCCAACCCCCCTGCCATGGGCAGGGAAACCCTCCACTACACCAGGTTGCCCAAAGCTTCATCCAGCCCGGCCTTGAACACTTACAGGGATGGGGCATCTACAACTTCTCTGGGCAACCTGTTCCAGTGCCTCACCACCCTCTGAGTGAAAAATTTCTTCCTTATATCCAATCTAAATCTACCCTCTTTCAGTTTAAATCCACTGCCCCTTGTCCTATCACTAGTTTAATACCTTCAGGATGAAAACCACGTGTAATCCTAATATCTTGACATTTGAACAGCACTAGGAATGCAGTTTCTCACCATCTAGACCTAAAGAATTAACTTAAGGCTAACAAATCAACTATTGTTTTTTTTTTTTTTCTCCTCTGTGTAATAAGGATATGCTAGCAAGGTCCAAAGAAATAAATACGAGGTGAGGGGGAAGAAAGGAACTTACGACTGACTAATAGTAACACTATTTCCACGATTCTTTCAATGTACTTTATGCAGATGATAGAATGAAAGAAAGAAATCAGGAATATCTACAAACAAGTTTTTCAAGGCACTTGCTTTTTCTTTGTAAATCAGAGTCTAATTATTTCTTCTATTTTTAATTAAAGAATAAGATTTGTGGAAAACAAAGTATCATTAAGTCCAGTCCTTAACAGACTGGAACACCACCACAGGAAAATCACACACTTTATTTATCCAAGCAGGCATTAACACTCAAGCTTAATAAATGCTTAAATACAAATGCCAGCCATGCTAACCACTTCATTTTTGAACAACACACCAAGAGCATGCAGCAAATGCCAAGGACATACTGTACTGCCACATGAAAGGATACACATGAGAAATTTTGCAACGTCATCAGCTGCAATTTAAATCTGATGCAAAAATAAATACAAATTTATTTAATCGATTCCAGAGAGAGACATACTTAATTTATTTTTTTTTAAAGACTGAATTTTATGCTTTGGAAAGGTTAGCAATTCACTCCTCAGAACAGTAAATCTTTTCATCTGTTGAAAAGAAGGGTACAAAAAGTACTCGAACAAACTTCTTAACACTAATACGTATGTACAGTGGTTTTAAAGACGGGTGGAATTTTTCACTTTTTATGTGATTCATTCTGTCCAACCTGACTGCTAAGGAAAAAATGGCATCGGTTGTACCACTTAATGAGAACAGGAATTAAGAATTGGACTGAAATGTCCATATCAGTTCACACAGGATAGCAGATATTTTTACCTTTTCTGTAACCAAATATATAGACTTATGACCCCAACTAACTTTAGATCTAAATAACTTTTCCTTGACTGATCCTGGTTAGGCCTCTACAAAACCCCAAACTGACCAATCAGCTCATACAATTAGATTTATGAGCTCAAAGGGTGTATCTGAGGCTTCATGTTGTACCATTAGTCAAATTTGTTTGGGTTTAGTTCTGCTTTCAACTTTATTGTATAATTTATTACAACTTTGATACGCTAAGATTATTTAAGGCTAACCAAATGTTTCCTGCAGATATCTTGATATGAAAAAACAACAAAAGAAACAGATTTATGGCTTGCTTCTGCTGTCCCTGACAGAATCAAGAGACTGAAGGTGTTGACTATGACACTAATCAAAATGCTAAATTACATCATAAACCAAAAGAGGAAAATTAGAGAAGTAATATGTATAGCAGACATACAAAGGATTTTGACACAAGAAGATACGGCCAGACAACAGTTATCAAAAGTTAAGGACTATATTTTCAAAAGAAAATATTTTAATAAAGTTCACTTTCCAGGGTAAGCTTATTTCTTCAGACATATTAAACAAAATTTCAATGTTCTAGTAACAGTATATTTAAAAAATGAAGAGGTAAAAAAATGACAATTCACATTCCTGCAACTCTTATAATTCTGCTTCCAATTACTCTCTCCCAACTCATCAACAAATTAAAACACCATGATACTTCATGATACAACTCCATAATCCTTTACTAAGACATCAGAAAGGGGGCATGGCATAGAAGATCTAGGAATTGTGCTAGAAGAATCATAGAATGGTTTGGGTTGGAAGGGACCTCAAAGATCATCTAGTTCCAACCCCACTGCCATGGGCACAGACACCCTCCACTACACCAGGTTGCTCAAAGCCTCATCCAACCTGGGCTCGAACACTTACAGGGATGGGGCATCTACAACTTCTCTGGGCAACCTGTTCCAGTGTTTCACCACCCTAATTGTAAAAAATTTCTTCCTTGTATCTAATCTAAATCTTCCCTCTTTCAGTTTAAAGCCATTGCCCCTATCACTATATGCCCTTGTAAAAAGTCCCTCTCCAGCTTTCTTGGAGGCCCCCTTTAGGTACTGGAAGGCTGCTCTAAGGTCTCCCTGGAGTCTTCTCTTTTCCAGGCTGAACAACCCCAACTTTCTCAGCCTGTCTTCATAGGAGAGGTGCTCCAGCCCTTGGATCATCTTCATGGCCCTGCTCTGGTCTTGCTCCAACAGCTCCATGTCCTTCTTATGTCGGGGGCCCCAGAGCTGAATGCAGTACTGCAGGTGGGGTCTCACAAGAGAAGAGTAGAGCCAAGAACTTATATAAAAGCAGAAACCTTTCTACAGTCTGCTTTCCTGCACACTTTTATACTGTGGAATCCACTATTCTTAAATAACCAACTGGCTGTTTGTTTCAATTTTCTTCATTTCACAGCCTGTTAAATTTTAGTTACTATTCCTACTTCACAAACCCTCACGGAGGGGTTCCCCACCTTCCGCAACTGCTTTGTAAGAGTGATTGTTAAAACAGCAGAGATACCAAAACCCACCATATGGAAAACCAGGGCTCACAATTCCCCTGATTGTGACTGGTGACAAAAATAATATAGCATAAAGCTACCTTAAAAGCAGTATGCTAGTCTTTTCCAAGCATCTTCACTTTGTCTACTTCTTCCTGTGTGGCATCTCTACAGCATTCGTTGTGTGTAGGGCATGAAAGTGATCACAGGAAATGAGATCTTCACAGAAACAAACAACAAGCAATGTGCTTGCTCTCTGAAAAAAGGTATTTTGTTTAAAAGACTCCACTGTGTACCACGTGGGTGTTTTGGTGATTTTTTTTATTTTGTTTTAAGTGTGAACTTATTACTGAAACTTCTCAGGAAGAGGAATATCTTTTTTAGGAGATGTTACTAAAACCTAATTTTCAAACTTCATATGAATAAAACATTACAGCAACATAAAATTGCTAAACTGAAAAGCTGAGCAGTAATTGAATTTCATATTTAATTTTATATTGAATAATATCACCCACCTTCTGTAGCAAACTGCTCTAGATGTTTCAAGGTGATTTCTTTGTATTTTGAACTTTCGGCAAGACGGTCATAAATTACAGTATCCTATAAAACAAACAAACAAAAAGAACTCAGAACAATTTAACAGAAAAATGAGGGTTTTTTCTGTAGACAATAAAAATACTGTAGGAAGATGGCAGAAAAATATGTAGCACTGTATTAATTTATTTTAACACAAAAAAATTAAAAGAAGTAATTTTATTTCAGAAGAAGTAAAACAGGACATTCCAAATCCTCAGATTCTCTAAATTTACAAATTCTGCTATGATGTAGTTTTTCTCCTACATTTTTTGCTGTTATTTCCCTTCATTTTGAAAAGTGCTGTATCTTCCTTTGGCTTGTTATGTGAATTCTTTGATGTCCTAAAATGCTGTCTTCCTCTTTAACATTAAGCCCACATGGTAAAATTAGTACTTCGTAACTGCCATTCTCAGGTTTTTGTAGCCAGCCTGAGTACTAACAACAGGTTCTTCTCTCCATGTGAGAACATACAGAATGGACAGAATGTCCCGCACGACATTCTTCCCTCTAAATTAGAGAGTCATGGGTTTGATGGA